GCGGCAGGAGAGGCCGCAACGGTGAGAGGCCCGCGTACCGCAAAAAAAAAAAAAGACTCAAGAGGAGAGGAGGCCTGATTTAGCCCACACTGTTTACCCTCAGCTTTATGCTTTGGTCATGAGGAGTAAAGAAATGAGGCTGAGCCTGCCAGTTCTGCTTCATGAGTGACAGCTCCACAGGGCGCCAGCTCTCCCCACGCTGCCTCCTCCCCCTCCTCCCTCCCCTTCTCCCCTCTTTCCCCCCTTCTCTCCTCCCCCTTTTATATGTAAATTTTTTATATAAATATAAATATAAATATAAATATATATATCCTAGGGGACTTCCCTGGCGGTCCAGTGGTTAAGACTCCACACTTCCAATGTAGGGGGCACAGGTTCGATCCCAGGTTGGGGAACTAAGATCCCACATGCTGCATGGCACGGCCAAAAAAAAAAATTCTGAAGTGATGAAAAGGGACAAAGCAGACTGTGGAGTTCGTTACCCATCACACAAAGAAAAGGGCCATGTGGAAAGTTCACTGAACCCTGAGAAATCCACCTCCATCTGGGGTAGGGATCAGGACCCACTTTAACCTGTGTGCCTTTTTCTTTTCTTTTCTTTTCTTTTTTTCTGTACGCGGGCCTCTCGCTGTTGTGGCCTCTCCCATTGCAGAGCACAGGCTCTAGACGTGCAGGCTCAGTGGCCATTGCTCACGGGCCCAGCCGCTCCGCAGCATGTGGGATCTTCCCGGACCGGGGCACGAACCCGTGTCCCCTGCACTGGCAGGCGGACTCCCAACCACTGCGCCATCAGGGAAGCCCCGTGTGCCTTTTTGTATGACTTTAATTTTTTTTTTAAGTCCATAGCACATTAGCAGCAAGTGTCTAAACCAGGGGTTGGCAAACCATGGCCTGAGAAGCAAGTCTGGCCTGTGACTTGTTTTTGTGCCGCCTGTAGGCTAAGAATCATTTTTACCTTTTTAAAGAACTATCATCAGAAACAAAGACTGTAGGGCAGAGTCCTGTATGTGGTCTACAAAGATGAAATCTTTGCTATGTGATTCTTTACAGAGAAAGTTTGCCGACTGCTGCTCTAAACAGTAAGTTCAAAGCAGGGAAAATGATTTGTATCTGGAGGATATGAAAGAGGTTCTCTGAGGACAGACCTGGCTTGCCTTGTGGGTGATGATGGCTGAGATGCTCATAAGGGGGTGTCCAGGCAGGCCAAACCGCAGGACAGATGCACACAGGAGTCTGAGAAGGAGGCGGTTGGGGCCAAGGGAAGTCCGCTTCCACTAAAGCAGGGGTCACAGGACACGCTGTTAGAAACAAAGTTGGTACTCAACTGAGATGCCAACCTAAGGCCTGTGGACCTCCTTCTCTAAGAGCAGGAGGCCTCTGAGTTAGAGGTGACCACGGCAGTCATCTGGTCTACCCCTTTGACTTTGTGGATAAACAGCACAGAACAGCTAAAAACATGACCTGCCCAAGACCACACAGCTAATGAGACACAAGGCCACTGTCCTTCTGCTCAGCGCTCTTTCTATAGCAGGGAAGGGAGAAGGAAATGGAGGAAGACCAGCACGGTGATGGCTGGAATGGAAAAGAAAGAAATCCAGGTAAGCGGCAGTGCAAAGGGAGAATAGTAGGACTTGGCTCTACTTGTGCCACTGGGGGCAGGCGCAGTGGGGGATGGACCCATGGGACTCGACACTAGGCCTGGGAGAAGAGCAGGTGCCCCTCAATCCAGCAGCGACCTCACTAAGCACAGGGATGGTCGGGTCGATTTCTAATCAGAAGAAAATGGGACATGACTGTGGAGAGGTGGGTTTCTCCTGCTTGGTTACACTTGCTTTTAAACAGGCAGGTACTGATCCCAGAACACCTGTTCCAGCCTGTATCCTCCAGTAGTTAGATAACACACACAGACGCACACCGGCCAGTGTGTCAACTCACAGAATCCTATCAAAGGACAGGACCCTATCCTATCTGTATACTACTGTGGGATCCTAGGACTCTACCTTGGTTGCATACAGATGCCACTTTAAAACTGTGATTGGGAGAGACTCACCATCATCAAACACCCAGGTATTTTTTTTAAGACTTAAAACAAAAATTCCTGATAAAGACTTAACGGTCATTAAAGTTGCCCCAATCACACACAAACCCATCAGTATCTGCTGTTAAACAGGTAAGGAAAACCATGCATGTCCTGGGTATTTTCCTTTTAATCATGATTAAAAGGTAGTCCTCCTCCTCCGAGGCTTGTTTATGACTCCCCCTTCTGCCCGGCTGGCATTGAAAGCCGTTTCAAAAAAATCAGATGCAAATTAAGGAAGGAAGACAAATGCTCTACTGCCCCTCATTTCTAACTTTCAATAGGGAACTGGATGGCTGAACAAGGGGGCGAGCTGGATGCAGGCGGCGGGGTCAAGATGCAGGTGCTTGGGACCAGCAGCATCTAGACTGACCTGTAGAGGGTAAGGGAGCTGATGGCAGACCCGTGACCCACCTCCCGGTGCAGAGAAGTGCACGCTGGGGACCAGCTCCCCACTCTCCCAGGCACCCACCTCTCCAGACTATTATAGGAGCGTTAAGGACGCCCAGGATGTGCCACACAAACATTTACTGGGTGGTGTGGTAGCATCGTGATTACAAAGACAGGATTAGCAAATCAACAAGAGGAAGGGCTGGGGCAGCCTCAGACGCTGGGCAGCTTCTGCGGGACTACTGGGCTTCCTCCCTCCATCCCGCAGCACAGCAAGCTGATCCAAGCCACCTCTAACACGTGACCCGCCGGGACAGGCAGCAGAGGATGGGTGGGGAGACTACAAGGCTGCTCATCACACCTTAAAAGGGGCATCTCTAGTGCTGGAGTCCTGGGGGGAACTTGTCCTTCCTTCTTTTCTGAATTGTTTGACATTTCATTAACAAGGCTGTATCTTTTTATTAAAAGGACAAAGTAGTCTTTTTTTAAAATTTAAAATGTATGTCATGTAGCTCTTACCAACCACCCTGCAGGACAAGCCAGAATCTCAAACTTCCTATTTTGTACTATGCCTTACAGCGCTGAGCCTTCCTCCCTCGTTTCGTGTTTTGTGTAAATGCTCATTTTCAGGGTAGGCAGATGTTTCCTGCCATAGACCCTCACATCACACAAAGGATGGAACTAATCCAGTAACTTTCTGCACACACTCATCAAGTGCCTGTGCTCACGTGCTGACCAGGCTGGGGGTCGTGAACAAGGCGGGGGGGATGATGGCCGCTCCTCTGGCCTCATGGACAACGGGACACTTACTTGTCGAGCAGCCCCTTCTGTTTGAGTATGCGGTACACCTCGGCCGAAGTCTGAGGTCCTTGCAGCTTCTGCCCATTCAGCATCTCCTTCTCCAATTCTTCGATGGTCTTAAAAACAAAGGATGAAAACAATCTCCTGTAAAATCTAGAGCACCACTTATTTTTCTTTTTTTTTTTTTTTTTTTTTTTTTTTTTTTTTTTTTTTTTTTTTTTTTGCGCTCCGCGGGCCTCTCACTGTTGTGGCCTCTCCCGCCGCGGAGCACAGGCTCCGGACGCGCAGGCCCAGCGGCCACGGCTCACGGGCCCAGCCGCTCCGCGGCACGTGGGGTCCTCCCGGACCGGGGCACGAGCCCGCGTCCCCTGCATCGGCAGGCGGGCTCTCAACCACTGCGCCGCCAGGGGAGCCCTGGGGCACCACTTATTTGAAGAGCAGAGCGGGGGAGGAGAGCTGCAAGCCACGAAGAGGTAACGACATTCGAGACCGAGGGTGTAGGACTGAAGCGCTTTTAAGCAAAGGCAGATGGGGGTTAGCAGGACAAGCCCAGCACACACAGCCTCCACCCCCAGGTCAGCGGCTCTCCCCAGCCTGGGATGCCACACCGGGGGCTACCTTTCCGGTCCTGGCAAAGGCCTCGGCCACCCTGCGGTTCCGGCCCCCATAGCAGGTGGTGATCAGATCAGCCACGCCGCAGCTCTCCAGGAAGGTGGCCGTGGACACCTGGCCCTTGCAGAAGATCCTGGCAAAGGCGATCATTTCCATGAGCCCCAGGCGGATGACAGCGGCCTTGGTGTTGTCGCCACAGCGGAGGCCGTCGCAGAACCCGGCTCCCACGGCCACGATGTTCTACAAAGGAGACAAGAAAGCCGGGGATGCCGTCACACGCCTGCTGGAGGAGAGAATGCAGGGAAGGCAGGGACACTGGCTCCCCTGGGTCCCACACGACCCAGGGTTCTTTTTTTTAAAACATTTATTTATTTATTTGGCTGTGCCGGGTCTTAGCTGCAGCATGCGGGATCTTCGTTGCTGCGTGCGGGATCTTTTAGTTCCAGCATGCGGGATCTAGTTCACCGACCAGGGATCGAACCCAGGCCCCCTGCATTGGGAGCTCGGAGTCTTAGCCACTGAACCACTAGGGAAGTCCCACGACCTGGGGTTCTGCTTTTGTACCCGTGAGAGAGAGAGTAGAAAGAAGGGACCAGGCTCCCATATTCCCATTCACAGGGCAAAGGGCCCACATCTGTGCTCAGAGGGAGGCATCAGCCAGAATGGGAACGGTGGATGGTAGTCTCTGGTCAAATACTGTTTGAACAAAAGTTTTTTTTTTTTTTTTCTTTTATAGTTGAATAAATCAAATGTTTCAACTATAACATTCACAGAAAAGTAGTCAAATCATAAGTGCAGGGCTTGATGAATTTTCACAAACCAGACACACCTGTGTAACCAGCACCCTGATCAAGGAGTAGAACGTAACCAGTGCCCCAGGAAGCCCCCTCTGACCTTCTCCTGGTCACCCCTGCACCAAAGGCAACCTCTCTCCTGACTTCTAATGGCACAGGTTTACTTTCCTTGTCCTTAAACTTTATATGAATAGAATCATACAGGGTGTAATCCTTCGTGTCTATCTTCTCTGTCTCAATTTGACATCACGTTTGTGAGCTTCAGCCGTATTTTTACACATAACGCATTTATTTTCATTGCTACGTTATATTCCATTGTGCAAATATACTGCAATTTATCTGTTCTGTTGATTGGCATTGGGGTAGTTTCCAGTTTGGAGCCATTACAAATGGCTCTGCTATGACACCTGGTACATGACCTCTGGTGGCCGTGAGCAGGCACTTCTGTTGGGAGCATACCTGGGTCAGAAGTGCTGCATGATGATGAATGCATACGTGCAGATCAAGTTTCTGCCTTTTATTTAATAAGCCCTGGGATTTCCCTGGTGGTGCAGTGGTTAAGAATCCACCTGCCAATGCAGGGGACACGGGTTTGATCTCTGGTCTGGGAAGATCCTACATGCTGCGGAGCAACTAAACCCGTGCGCCACAACTACTGAGCCTGTGCTCTAGAGCCCATGACCCGCAACAAGAGAAGCCACCGCAATGAGAAGCCCGCGCACTGCAATGAAGACCCAACTCAGCCAAAAATAAGTAAATAAATAAATTTAATAATCCCTAAATGAGCATTTCTGAAGCGCTGGGTTGTTGCGTGGCTCTATGCTGGACACCAGGCAGATCAGACACAGACTTGCCTCTTCAGAAGCTGATAACCTAGTTCGGGGGTCAGCAAATCAGGGCCAAGTGTTATAAGTAACGTTGTACTGGAAACCAGGACTGCCCGTTCAGTTACACGCTGTCTGTGGTTGCCTGTGTGCTGTCAACAGATCTGAGTAGTTGTGCAGAGACCTTTAAGGTCTGCAAAGCCCACAATTTCTTTTTTTTTTTTTTTTTTTTTTTTTTCCT